GGAGACCTTTTCGTTTGCTCTCGTCCCCAGGGTTCACGCACGGGGTAAGAGTGACAAAAAGAGTGGAACATTTCAACCAGGGTGTTGAACCCAACCTGAACCCAAAAACCAGAGCAAAAATCGTTATTTTTGATCGGACCGAAACAAAACCGTAACCGAGATCGAACAGCTAATATTGAACCCGAACCGGAACAGAATCGTTATCTCGCGTGGCGGTTACCGTATTACTAGAAAATGGTTTCGGTGTCATAAAATGCGGGCCGCGAATATTGGAGGGTGGCTGCGCAAAGTCAATGAAATATTCGCGACAGAGGAGTCGGCGGCGCAGTTTGCACTATGCATGTGGGAGCGACTCGTAGACGGCCGAATAATAATGAAACAAATAAATATATATTTTGCGTCTACGCTCAACACGACTCTACGTGGGCGCGTACACTTCCATACTTTGTCTCACCTCACGACGGATTGCAAAGGACGCTACGAGCCACCGGAGCCAATCCGTAGCTCAGAGGGTGTCGCGTGTCCTTACGACTGGGCGGTGCAACGTGGAGAAATAAAAAAAGCAAAATGTCGGCGCGTTTGTTCTACATTGGTAAAATCTGCAGTGCCCGGAGCCGAAGCAGCAACGGGTACGGCACTGCGGTCGACGGGGTGCCAATCGCCCGGGACACTGCTCCAAAAAATCTTTTTGTCTCTGTGCCTTTTTCGAAAGAACCATTTTTTTCCCTCTTCTTCGTTTTAATAATTTTTCGTCCGCCTTTCGCCTTTTCTCTCCTTTTGAACTCAGTTGTTCGAGCGAGGCGTTGGAGCGGGCGAGGTGGGTCTGTAAGCCGGAGCATCCTTCTTTCGTCCATCGGTAAGTTAGCTTCTCAGGTGCCATTCCAAGAAGCTGTTCCATGCGGCGGTGCATGTCCTCCCAAGTTTTTCTTGGTTCGCGCAAAGCCTCGCTTTGTCATAGCACCGCTCGTATGTTCCCTTCTTTCACAGTTTTTACGACTTGGGCTCACGGAACATGCACTCCGGTTTAGGAAAGCTCGAACGGCTAGAACGGCGCTCCCCATCGTGCAGTCGTCGATATTTTGGGCCTCGGAGACAAAAAGTCGGCGTTGGAGCTCAAATCGCACAATCCAACATCGTCCGGTCCTCGGTGCTGCAGTCATCAAAAAGAAAGCAGCAAATATGGCTACATCGAGCGACCGAGACAGTCTTTGCGGGAGTCCCTGATGCCAACAAGAAGGGCGGTCGTTGAGACTGCTGGGGAGACTTGCTGGGGTTCCCTGGGAGAAAAGTTTGAGAGCCCCTGGACTAAGAGAAGATAACATCCGAGTAGCCGATTCGGGACGTCCGGGTATTCACTGCCACGACCTGCAGATGCTCAACTAACTTCAAAAACTGCTCCGTAATGAGCAAGAATCATGACCCACTCGCGAGAGAAATGATGGAAGCAGCAAGTATCTCGAAGCAGAGTGACACGTGTATTGGCAATCCTTCTAGACCACTTTCCGAGAAGGAGTCGTTATACCTAGACTCTACTCGAAGGTAACAAGTGCGTTAGACTTTGAAATCAGCAGAGGATGAAATACCACACCAAATAGGAGTTGTCTTACTTAGCAGCAGAAAGAAAACAATGAACCATGATAACAATTTTTCTTTTTCATTTGCGTAAAGGCGCGACAGGAGAGGTTCCTTTTTGATGGCGTACGTGTGGTCCGGTGCGCGAGTCATCCTTTGCGCCGTTACCTTTAAGTTTTGTACACAGATTTTGGTTGTTTTGGGCCCATTCCCAAAGTGGCCGACGGACAACTTCCGCTACCAGCTGGAGCACCCCCAATCGGAACTAAATTCTGCGGGATTGACTTCCGGTACGCAGACTGAATGGAATTCGGTACTCTGGGAACGTTCAGCGACTACTTTGCACCACTAAGCGATATGCAGCGAATAGAAAAATCGTATTGAACATAATTTTGTGGTTTCCATGAGAGTGGCTCTGGCTCACCCATAGAGTTATTATAATGTAGGTTTGAGGTTCAACCACCGTTGGTGTCTATGGGACTTCCGGTTTCAAATCGAAGACGACGGCAACCAGTCCCCTATACAAAATACGCTCTACGAGGTTTGGCCTTAAACGACATGTCGGCGTACGGCACCCGGCACAACGGTCGGCCGGTCGGATTCGAAGCGGAACCCCGTGAATTCACGGCGTGGCAGCCTACGGCTCACAGAGACGCTCATAGGAGCCAAGTGCCGTACGCTGACGTGCATTGTTTAAGGCCAAACCTTGTAGGGCGTATTTTCTGAAGGGGCGACCGTCGAAACAACGGTCGTTCCTCCGAGGCTTTCGAGAGATGTCCTCTTGCGTGCCATACCACCGAGTATGACCGCCCCCGTGACTCGCTTCAACCCAATGGACACAAACAAGCGCTGTAAAGCGGTTGCCGCACAACCCAAGCACGCACCCACACATTGGAGTGTGCAAGAGCCCATAGTGGAGCACCGCAGGCCCAGAGTGTTAGTGGGAAAAGACGGCGTCCCATGCACCGGCAGCCCCAAGCATGGAGGGACGGCCGGGAAAGAGGGCCGCACTCACCTTGCGGCAAGGTCGTCGTCAGGCGGCAGGTCGTGCCTCGTCAGCCTCTGCACCAACTTGGCGCTTCCGCGGCGAATCGAGGCACGCAGCTTGCCCAGAGAGCTGCTCCGCTTCAGGCGGCCGTTCTGACATTCCCACCCCCGGCGTGCCACGGGCACGGCGCGGTTTCAGAACGGGTGGCAGGAGGGGAAAAGGGGGGGGACAGAAAGCGGAAAGATGGGGTGGGCGGGGAGGGGGGAGGTGGATGCGGAGAGGGTTAGGCGCGCCAAACGAGTCCCTTCGCTTCACGCGGGGGCTGCCCCCCAGACCCTTGGTCGGACTTCGCGCGTCCGTCGCACCAGATTCATCTTTTGTTTTCTACGCGTTTCAGAGCGGGGACTCCCGCATCGGTTCTACGATTCAAACCACAGAAACTGTTTGCGGATGAAGCTTGCCATTCCGCTAGAGACTGTGGACGTTTGTGCGTACTATTACTCTTCAGAACCTCGCGCCCCGACGCAGATTTCTGGCGTTGTTTATACGAGGCCGATGACCTAATAAACAAAATTTACCTCTTTACCGGAAAATAAAAATAAAAAAGAAACAATCGGAAAATTCCGAAACATTCTCGGAGACTACAATTTACAAGAAATGGAAGCGTGCCGGTCGCACCTACGGTTCCACCACTTCCGCTAGAAAGAGGACACCCCCCTTTTGGCCAGGATCGAGCCCCCCTTCTCTCCAGTTTGATTTTTCCGGTACGAAAACGCAACTAAAAGATGTTTGCATAAATAAGCTTAGATCTTTTTGATAACGAGCAAAATACCACTGCCGCCGACGATGGAAGTAGGAGACTGAGAAAGGCTCTCGCGATAGCTGCATGCAAAGCTGCGAGTCATGCAAGTCAGTATGCTAATTTTTTTTTCTGTCAGACGAGCAACGACAAAGGCTATGAGACATTGCAAAAGTTATCTTCTCTCAAGTTCTCCCATAGAGGCCGGAAAAAATAAACGAGCCCACGAAGAAGATAATATTAGGAAAGTGCGCGCCACACACTAACATGCGGGCAGCGTACGAAAAAGAAATTAAAAAAAAGACCTAACTGAAACGAAGTATTTTACTAAATAAGACGCTAGCTACGGTCCCCAACACGGCCTAAGAGGCACCATTTCCTGGGAAGCTCGGTGCGAGTATTTGCGAGTCCACCGCAACGTGGACACCCCCGGAAAGGTGGAAGACCCCAAACGGAAGGCAAGGGCAGTTGCAATGAAGCTAGCTCGTATCACCGCCGTCCACCGGCCGTTTCATTCCCGGCGCAGACAGACTTCCACGGTCGGCGTTGCAGCGCCAACTCACGCGAGTGGCTCAGAGGCCACGTCGGACGTGCTCCCAAGCCGTTACGTGTGGCAAAACAAAGCGTCGCAAGCTCCTCCCTCGGGGCAGAAGGGACGTGAGTATGCAGAGTGCAACGAGCAGCAGAGCGAGGGGAAGGAGTAGAGGTGAAAGTGCAACGTCGTGCAATGTGCGTACAGCCACGCAAACAGAAACTGCCGTCAAAACGACGAGCGGGCCGCGTAGTGTCTCGCCGCGGCAAGAGCGCGCGGTAGGACGCCGAGAGGCTTCGCTTCGAGAGAGCGGGTTTCTCCGGCGTGCCTTAACCGCGAACGGCGCCAAACCTACGCGGCTCCGGCGTCCGGAAGTCGTTCGTCGCCTCGACGGCAGCGCGTTGCAGGCCGGACGAGCTTGCGTAGAGCCGTGCGGACGGGGCGGGGACGGCCGTCTCCCGCGAGCGTGAATGCGGCGGTGCGAGCTCATTCGGTGTGGAAGCGGATGTGGTGACTCCGGCAAACCAAGATGGTCCGCAATGCCGACGGGTACTCACAAATTTCTCCGCAACCATCAGTTCGTCGTACGATCCTAGCGTAACATTTCCCACCTGAAAGCCACGCCGCGTGTCATCACTCGGCACCGCACCAGCTTCGTTTCGTCCGCGTCCCACCGCGAAGACCACCCACCTTCGAGCCGATCGAGTGCAGAGACGGTTCTTCAACGTCTCGCTAGAGTCTCCGCCGTGCAACGAGGGAGATCTTACAGCGAGCTAGCCAAATTCCCGCGGACATGATCGACAAATTTGCGACCTTGACAACTTCCGCGCTTACAAGGTAGCAAACTTGGCCGTCTTACGGCACCGAGAAGTGTGCGGGCTTACACCCGGGATCGTTCGTTACGAGGAGAATGAGAGCCAAACGCTTTCGTGGGCTTTCTTGCCTTCCCGTCGTAACAACGTCGCATCGTCTAGGCCGCGGGTCGGCAACCTTCCGCTCCAGGTCCCAACAAGATATATATATCCGTGTTCAAAGCAAGAATTACATGGGTCAATGAATTTCCCAAGCCCAACTCTGGGCTGCGTGACATGAACGAGAGTCTCACAATATTACAAATGATGAAGAGGTCTTTATTGGGAACTGCAAAAGGCATAGAAACCCAACACATTTCTTAAATACTTTACGGCATCGTTAGATGTCGTCGTACAAAAAATGCTCGCACTTTCAAACGCACTCCTCTCGGTTCAACCTAAGAGAGTTTCTCAAAAATGCACATTAAATCTCCAAACTGCACATTAAACCTCCGTCATCAAAAACACACAGTAGCGGTTAACACAAAGTGTAAATGATTCTTTGCGAGGATAAAAGACATTGTGAAATCAATCCTGATACGCGATCGTCCAGCTAATTTATAGAAACTGCTCCATCTTTGAGGGAATGCGGGGATTACGGCTACCCACAACAAAGACACATTTCCAAGTCAGGAGCTTCCGGCTGCAGCCCTCGCCAAAGTCTGCGTTGAGGTAAGACGAAGGAAGCGAGCCTCGAGAAAATGAGCGAAGCAGAGTTATTGCAATCGTTATAAGACCTAGCTCTCCCAGTCCAGGCTCCAGGTTCCAACAGCAATAAATATTTATACCTCGTAAGCGAAGAAATTACCCAAAAAGCTGTAGTTCTAAAGGCATACTCTCTCTGAAAACAAAGCAAGCAAACTAAAAAGTGCCTTCCTCGTTCCCTAAAGGTCTTAATTAACGGGAGGTATTTCCCTAAAGAGAGTTCCTCGACTTTGAAAACTGTACACAGCTCAAAGCTCAATTGCTACTCTTTCTCACGCGGAGCCAAAAACCTGCGACAGAGACGTGGTCCTCGTAAAATCCCGGTGCACCACCCAACGTAGCCAAGTCAATCCTTTACGTGCACCCAAGACCTATCGAGCATTTCAAGTGCCGCGCAGCTTTCGACGGGACGACGAGAGAGAAGAAAAAAAGTGAGAAGAGTTTTGCGCGCATCTTTCCCGGGATCCAACGGCCGGTCTGGTGCTCGGCCGAGCGGGCAAAGAAAAACGCCGGCGAAAACTGCTATCACAGACTGTCACCTCCGAAGGAAATCTCTCTCGCATTCCAACGGCCATTATGTACGAGCCCCAAAAAACGAGAGAGGGCGAGCCACCCGTTGCGGAGCGCCGAGGCGTAGATGAGCGGCAACCGAGGCCAATGACGACGGCGCACATAAACGAGCCGGAAAGCGGCCCTACAACTCCTAACGAGTCTTCGATTGCCTTCTCTGTCAGTTCCGCCGCCAACGCGACAGATAAGCTCCCGCTAGGCGAGACGGAAGCCCGGCCACCTCGGAAAAACAAAACGTTTCAATCTCTAAGGGTGCTCCTTCTAAGGCGCACAGCTAGACTTCGTAATGTTGAGACGTATCGTCAAAGTTCCCCCGCACTTCTCGCTTTCGTAGAGTCGTCGAGTCCGCGGCATTCGAGGGCCAAAACTCCATTACGGGTGGCAATTGCAGGTGCAAAACGGCCAAAAAAGGCAGTTCGACGGCCAAGAACAGAAAAGACGTTCTCGACGTATCGACAAATCTCGAAAGGCTCGCCGGCGACACAAACTGCCAGAGAGAGCCGACGAGCGATCTTTCAGCGAGAATGTCGCCAAAACCGAGCACACACTATCTTGCGTCGCCAGAAGGCAAGATCGCGAGTCTTAGATCCTGTCGGTGTGGTTTGACAAACAAAGGAAAGAAAAGTTGCAGGCAAACGTGCCCGCGGTCTGCAACTGCAACGAAGTGCCGAATTTTTATTGCACCTATCGCGCACTGTGCGAACGGAACCCTTCCAAATATTGTGGCAATTGACTCAACAGTCAAGAGGCATGCAACGCCACAAGGAGAACAAAACGACCGCAACGAAATTATCAACGAGCGACACTCGCAAGATGAGACAGAAAAACTGGGAAGCAAGAACGAAAAAATAAAAAGAACCATTTGATACGATTTGGCGGCACAAACCGCCAAACCGTATCGAAGAGAAAAAAAAAAGTGAGACAGGAAACCTTTTTGAAACGAGGCTTGCCGCGCTCGTGACGTGGGACTTCTTTTCTTAATGGAGTTAAGGAGTTTGTGTCGTAGAAAAGCCGGCATCGGTGACGCTGTGACGGGAAAATCCTGATTGGCCGACAGGGTCGTGACGTCACAGCCACATGACCTTGCGCGGGCATTTCAAACAACCCACAACGCTCAAGTGAAACGTGACGTCACGCGTGGAATGAAAGTGACTAAAACGTTGCATGTAATGCAAATTAAAAGTCGCTGCACGCCTCAGATGGTTTCCCTTCATAAAGCAATTCAATTGCTTTAAAGGAAAGGTTGAAGAATGTTAGGCGGGATTTGAACCCAGGAGCCTTCGGTCGCAAGCCAGACACGCCACAGACTAGGCCATGCAGAGACGCTTGCACGGCTCGGGAACTAGTGGCAGCTTGTGCGTATAGCTATCGCGTTCCACTCTTAAAGGCGAAGCTTAAGTGTTGTCCAAGATTATTTTCTTCCTTTTTGGGCGTTTTTGTTTCTTCGTCAACCAATGTTTTGGCCACCCGTTCATTGTTTGACATACCCGCGAGTAAAGAGCGGCACTCCATCCGTCGAGCTGCCCTTCCCGACAATAAGATCTCGGGCCACGCTCCCACACTTCTCCCTGACAGAGTCCCCCACAACCCTCCCCGAAATCCTACGCTCCGCATTCTGCCGTTCCGGTAATAGTCGCTGGTTTCCCGCCCTTTCTACCGACCACACGACCACGTCGCGACTTTCGCTCCGCGGCGCGCCGTTCGTGCAACTGCGCTTAGACGACGCGTCGCAAAATCTTTTTTGGCGCTGAGGCGCCAATTCCTCGACGAGGAGCGGTCGACTTGTTGGTGGTTGCCGGGCTTCCGGTCGCCCTCACCCCCTCAGGCAGGAGGACAAACGAGATCCCTGGCACCACACGGAACCAACAGAAAGCGAGACGAAACGGAGGAGAGAGAAAAGCATTATGAGGACGGCGACGAAGGCGTCAGCGAGTGGAGTCCCAAGGCGTTGAAGAGCTTCGTTTTGATTCCCTGCGGCTGGTCCGTCCTCTGAACGTTAGACGAGCCCGCGTTTGCACCCTGCGGTGGCGCGCTCTGCGGCGGCGCCTGGAACTGTTTGGCGCCAAGGGTGGGTGGGGCAGCGCAAGAGCAGGTTAGTCGGGCGGGGGGAGGGGGGAGGGGGGCAAACCAAGAAACAGGAGGAGAGAGGCGGGTGTAAAAAATAAGAGGACAACCAAAAATGCGGACAAAAACAGCATCAATACCAGGAACGAGGTACAAAACAAAGAAAAGAACCGAGGAGGAGCGCGCAAAAAAAAAAAGAAGAGCCACCGAAAAACGCTGCGCTCTACGGGGGACGACCGACTCGCCACAAAGTGACGGGCTACGCGCCATCGTGGCCCTCCGTTTGTCCGACGAGTCGACGACACGGAGATGGCGAGCCCTCCGTCTCCGGCTTTTCGACGCGTCGGACGTCCGCCGGTTCCGACGTGCACCCGGCGTTTGCGCACTCACTCTTCGTCGAGTTGCCGCAAACGCAGCGGGAGCCGAGGCGGCGGGGCCTCGGCACCGAGCGGCACCCTCCGCCAACCGCACGGAGCGGTGCATCCCCGTCCGGGAAAGAGCCCTCCGCGTTTCTCGCGCGCAATTCTCGGCGCACAGTTGCGCATTCGATGGTCGACCTCGTGCGGTGGAAATCTCTTCGCGACACTCCTCCCGACAAAGCGGGGACCACTCTCTTGGCACGACTGCACACGGCGTGCAAAAGCTAGTTTCATTGCAAAGGCCTCGCAAACTGCACCCGTCGCATATGACAGGGTCCGTAGTCCGTAACTAAAATTTGAAACGATTGGAGCGTCTGGCTCCGGGTAGATTCATTTCTGGATTTACTCTCAAAAAGTATTTTGTGTTCTCAAACTAGGCTCGTGAAACGACAGAACAACAAATTTGCCCCCTCTCCAAACTATGAGATGTTGAAGTCCGAACATCATTACATCTTTGCAAGGTGGAAAGAAGGAACAAAGGCCAGAAGAGTATCGAAGGCAAAACATTAAGTTTGACTTTATTGGCACTGTTAGAAAGGTATTGCCTAGAGTATTCGGCTGTAAATGCTCTAGCATACAAAAACATTGGGGCGCAAAAATGAGTGTCTCGTCACCGAAAAATCTCACACCCTCACCTAGGCCGACTAGGCATGCGTAAGCGAGGAAGCAACAGTGCATGCTGCTCCCAATGCCTAAAACAGTCCCCCACAAAACGAGGCACAACAAAATAAGCCCTTCCTAAAAATGTAAGTAACAGCGCAGCAACAAAAATATAACCATTGTAGACCTTTGCAACCAACCCAGTCACAATTTCACCGATTAGCGTCGCATTCACGGGGTGTGACAAAAAGAGCTATTCAGGTTTCTGCAAATAGCGTTACAGCCTAATGCGAAGTATGGCGCTGCGATTTTTAACGGCGCTTAATCCGTAAAGTGCGCGCTTCCGGTGAAAATATAGACGGTCAATCTGGTAAGCATAAAACGCTAAGAGAAACTATTTTTGTGAAAATATTTTACGAAAACCAGTTGCAGGCCGAGCGGGTCAACTGGTACAACCGGTTACTCGACGCGTAACCGAATTTGAACACTTTTAATGAGTCCTCACACTCGACGACGGGAGACAAAATTGAACTTCAAAACAACAAAAAAAAAGGGTACCTCGCGAACGCCCACGTGGTCGCTAAGACACCGTGCTGAGGATGCCTTTGGTTTCTGCAACCTTCCTCCGACTTCTTTAAAAAGTCTTCCTTTACAATTTCGTCCTTGTCACGCTTTCTTTCACATGCCCTTTCGAGTGTGAAGCAATCTGGACTCGGATTCGGAAAATCCATTTTCCCGAACCATTTGCGCGAGCCTGGAACGACCAACGGCAACGTGGCCGGTTGCAATCCAAGCACACATTGAACGAATGATGTGCACGGGAAAGTAACGCATTCCTCGCGAGTCCGAGCGACTTCGGTCGTCTTTTTCGGCCAAACTCTCTCAAGGCTCGACTTGCCAAGTCCCGCAAACTTGGTCCACGCACCGTCCACGTGCAGCACCACACTTGGAGAGAAACTGTGCTAGCAAGACCCCCGCTTTGTCACACCCCGTTCGACGTCACCCCGGGGCTCTACGTCCATGACCCGACGGACTGCATTTCGGGCGGCTCTGTCAAGCGCGCTTCTCGAGCGTGCTCGGAAGCTCCGGTCGAACTCTGCCACCTTGGCCACCGGCTTCGTTTTGGTCTGAGCAAGACGCGTGCAGGACGCTGGGCCGGCGATCGAATTCGTACCATGGGGCTCTGGAGAGACAAGAGCTCCGCTAAGCACCTGGCCCCCAACCAGACCCCCAGAAACCCCGTCAGACCTACACAAAACTAGCTTCCCAAGGCTTTTGTCATTTCATTTACAAATAGGGTATCTGGTTTTTGCGGCGTTCGATTTTGACACGAATTTGGGCAACGAATCGGCTCTCCCTTATCTCGGAGGCAAAATCGGCATCCATTCTGCTTTGACACGTGAAAGTTAAAGGAACCAAGAACAATTTTTTCCACTTTTGGCTAACTACTAGAGCTTGGAACGTTTCTAAAGTACCCAGAAAAAATAGTTTTTTTGTTTTTTTTACACTCGGCGTTTTCTTGCAAAGGATGCATTTACGATGTTTCCACTCCTATGCCTCCCCAAATTTCCCGCTTTCAATCCCCGACCGCACGGCCCGCCCCTTGACCAAACAAACTAAATGTCCTGAAAAAAGCATCTTCCGCCGATTTGGCACCGACGAGCAGAGTCCATTCATCGGTGCTTTCCGCAACGCCCAAGAACCGGAAACCCTACTCGTAACGACGACGGTAACCTCCCGTACCCCACCGTCGGTGGCAGCCGAGATCACCCGATAAAATCCTTTGTCGCGTCTTCGTCCCTCCAAATGGTACGTCTCAAAGAAAATCAAAAGGGTGCTTTTTTCGACCTCCCTCGGGAACATCTGACAACGTCCGTGACCCGGACGACCACTAAATTAAGATGTCCTCGGTGCTTAAGCATACTTGTAATGGCTCCAATTATAAATTACTAAATGGTTCGTCGACGAGTTTCCAAACACGACCACGTCTCGAAGAGCCAAGGTACCTCCAAAGGCCGGTTTGAACGCACGGTTCTACGGCAATCCCCCGAGTGCCCACCGCCAGCCGGCCGTCCACCGCGTCCCCACGTTCCCGAAAGCCCAGGAAGACGTCCAACGGCGATCGCAATGGCCAGGTTTGGAGTTCAGAGCCGTCGTTAAGAGAGGAAAAGCTGCATTCAGCGAGGGCAGCCGTCGACGACGTCGACCGTGACACAAGCTCGCCCGTCTCAACGGCGCTCGACCTGAGTGTTGCAACGCCCGCATTCTCGCACCGCAAGAGGGGCGTCTCGTATTGAACGCTCGCGGCCGGTAAACATTTCTACTACAATCGATTTACTTCCGCGTTCGGACGGGCTACGCCTCATTCAAACGACCATGTCTTCCCTCGTCCCGGCACGGCGCTGGGCAATGCTCTTTTCGAGAAGGACGACGCGCTCTTCGATGACGGGCAAGTTGGATTTACTGCCGAGCTCGAAATAGCGAGACCACATCCGCTCCTTAACTAGACATAAATGCGATTTTAAGAAAGAACGGCCAAAGGAAGAAAATACGGCAGTGAATCGTCGGGGAGCAAATGTGGCATAACGAGCGATTGTTGCAAAACGTGCTCGCAGTTCCTCCTGCTGGTTTCGTTTCAAGATGTGGAGAATACCCTCAGCATCCATCCATCCATCTACGCAGCCACCTCTGCCAGCTTCGTCGCCGCTGGTTGCAAGACTCCACCGTCCCGTATTCGGCACGACAATGAGAACCGTCGAGCAAAAGAGCGCGACGCTTCATAGCGGAACGTGAGGAGCCTCGACCGCTTCTACCGGCTTCGACCGGTTTCGTCCAAGCCCGCAGCCGGCACTCGGGGGGGCGCCGCGGCCAGGACGCGTCCGAACCCGCCTTGGAGGTAGGTGCTGCGGCCGCGTTGGAGTGGCGTTCGGAGCGGCGAGCTCACCTCGTCAGCGGCCTGGGCGTCGTACGTGACGCTGTCCAGGGACTCCCTGGAGCCCCTTCGGGAGCCCGACTTGCCCGCCCGCTTCTCCTTTTGCGTCCCGGAGAAGTCCAGGAAGGGCATCTGCTTGCCGTGACGCTGCTCCAGGGCCTGCACCACATCCTCCCTTCACCCTCCTCCACCCGAAGAGCCTTCGGGTTTGCTACCCACACATGTGCCCAAAAATGTGCAACGCCAAAGCGCGAAATGTAATTTCCCCGCTAAATCTACCCACGCGTCGAACCACCGCATCCATCCGCTGCACCAGGGGTTTAGCGCGCTATTGCAAATGGGTGCAAGCTTTGAGCGGCTGCAAACCTCCATTCCCTATAAACTCGCTATTGTTTTGACTTAATTTTTGCTTTTGAGCTTTCCTGATGCTAATCGCCAGTACCGACAGCCCGAGGTCTTTAAAATGCGTGCTGCCCGCACAAACTCTCGCTCGGTAAAAGTGACTCCAAGACTGAGCTACGAGTTTGGCTGTCTAGGAGTCGAAAAACTCCCATTAAAATGCAATTGCCTAATAATGCAGCTATAAAAATTTTCCAGCAATAAACCATCCTATCAAGCTTCTTTTTTTTTTTTTTTTTTTAGAGGAAATAGAGCGACACGGCAACGAGAGTGAGCTCGCTTATTGGTTCTATCAAAAAATGCGAGCTAATGGTGGTGGGGTGTCATTTAAAATTTTGTCATCACATCAGGATCATGTGGTCACACTTTAGGAAATCAAAGCTAAGAATTCAAGTTTATGAAAAGCGGAGAGCACGAGATCTGTTCTCTAGAAAATCTGAAATGTGCCACCAAGAGACTCGGCTACTCGGCAATTGTGTTAAACATAAAAAGAAAGTGGACGGAAAGAAAAACACGACATTTGGGTGGACGCCACAGATGCCCCTCTTTAAAGTCGCATTGGGCACGCGCCTCAGCTCAGAGATCGAAGAAACTGGTAGCGTAGCTCCCTATATCGATTGGTAGCACAGGCAGGTCACTCCCTCGATTCTTAGTTCGTGCACCGACGGCACCGCCTGGTGCCGTCGGTACGTGGAAAAGGTCCATTCCACCTCATGTTTTTCTCACTCAAGCTTTATCGTAGAGATGAAGCGCAGCAAACGTTTGTCCGCATTTACGAGGAGCTATCTTCCCAGCGAATGTCAACTCGGTGGGAAGGTTCAGGGAAAGCGCCGGCGGGCTCACCTCCTTCCTGGCCCGCAGGGCGCAGTCCTCCAGCGTCTCGGCGGCTTCGTACTTCCCCTGACGCCGGTACAGCGCTCCCAGATTCTTCAAGGTCGTCGCAACCGTGGGACTGCAAAAGAGAAACCCCAACGGCCCTTTAGGAGAAACGATCGCAGACATTGCCCGGTAACCAAACTGCGACGATCGGCCAATAACCAGAAATTGCGGGTTTGCTCGCCGCTCGATAACTGGGGACGAAGGTCGAGGCAACTTTTGCTCCCCGTACTCAAACTCGGTCGAGGCGATGGTTCTGATGAAGTTGGAGAATGTGCTAATATTTACGAAACTAGCCAGTGCCGAAAAACACTCATGCCTTTCACCCAGAAAACGGTAAGGTGAAATCGACGTTGTCGCTACGCTGATTCTCGGCCGAACGCGTCGGTATGTAGTGCGGGGGACCCGACTCGGCAACGGATGGGAATTCCAATAACACAACGGTCTGTGTTTTATTTATTTGAATTTTATTTATTTATTGCATTTTATTTATTTATTTTGCATTTTATTTATTTATTTATTATTTTTACAGCAGAGCCGTTAAGGGCTAGTTTCTCCAGGATCGTGTCCCCCGCAAAGAAATGTCAACACAAAACTCTGGTTGCCGCCGTCACTCATAGATGGCTGCAACATTTCTTCGGAGGGAGAAGAGTGGGAATGGAACGAGCGGCGACGTGGGCAGCAGCGCGAATGGTTTCACAACCGTTGCGAGGCCGCTATCGCCTCAAGTTCGACTGCGTCGGGCGCTTCACATTCCCTTGTGAAAGAAGAGCAGATTGCTCGCCTGGAAAGCCACCGCCCAGTCTGTCTATGCTGGAAAAAGCGATGAAGAAACTTCATCGTGACGTCGCCGGTGGGAGGAGCCTAATCTCAATCGGCGGCGAACTCAACTGGCAGGGAACTTCATCGCGGCGCGTTGATGACGTCGACGGAGAGTGGCGATTGAGTTGAAACTTCATCGGGATTTGTCCCCGAAATATGTCCCTAGAGGGAAATGCGCAACGCCGCATCGAAGGGTCTCGTAAAAGCAACATTTTTAACTTCTGAAAATGTATAATACGGTACAATCTAAATATAATTATCGGTGTCAAGTCTAGGTCGCATGAATCATGTCTTTCTACGTAAGTGAAACAATTTAGATGAACGCAATGCGTGAGCTGCATCGCGATCGTGATGAATCGTCATGGCCGACGGTGGATGTCGCACGTGAAGTGCTCGTGTGTCTGTACGAAGATTTGCCTCACTTTTGGAATTTTTGCTGTCAAGTCGGGCTTTTTCACGTCGCGATTACCACTCGGCAGTCTGGTGGGGGACGTGAACCAAGTGTCCTCGCTGAACTCGAGGAGTAGGACAGAATCTTGGCCCGTATGAGAAAGGTTCCTCTCTAAGACACGGAAGAAGGCGCATGATTTCGAGGGCGGACGCGCCTCGTCCGTCGCCACACGGCATCTCGGCTGCAGTGTCGGTAAGTATAAGTGCATGGCATCTCAATGGGCGGTTTTAGCGTACCGTTGCCGTGCGCAGCGAAATTGCTACTGGGAGCTCGCGCTGTAACTTTGAAGCATGCTTTTCAGCGCGCTTAAGGGAACAGGGTAGGGCAAAATTTTGAAAAAAATTGAGTTTTTGTTTTTTAGGGATTTGGATTTCCCAGTTTATCCTGAACAATGCTGACTGTGTAATTTGAGCGTGCGCGATTTATCTACAGGAAAAATGACCTTTTCCGAAACCTAGGTGGTGACCGACCACGCCCCCTTTTACACCTTTGCACGATCTGTATCTCTCCTGTGTTGTAAAAAAAACCGTAAAAAAAACGAAGATTTTCACTAGGTTTAGCGGAATGTTTATTGCTCGTCCAGCAACATCAAAAAGCTGTCTAGCTTTTACATTTTTAGCCCCATAAATCCTCAGACACTGCCGGCGTCAGTCGCGACGCGCATACTTTTGCTTCTGGTTCGGCATGCTTCCACGGGCAATGTAATTTATTGTTTACTTTAACACTAGATTTGGAATGTTAAAAATGACGAAAGACGAAGATATTTTAGAAGCGTCGCTTCCAGAGTAGTCGGCATAGGTCAATTTCTTATGCCGCCGAGTCTCCGCAATGCATTCTGATGCCTGACGCACCGGCTAGCACGTGTGCGTCTTCTTCGAAGCTGTTGCACCCGGCAGCATGCTTTGAAGAGCTCAAGGCAAGTGTTAGTGACTGCAACTGTGCACTGATCGACATCGACCTTCTGTCCTGTACCGTAGCCGAAAGCTGGGTGTGCAAAGTGTGTGGCGGGGACTTGCAGCTGGTTGAAAAAGCAGCACTAAGAGCTGGCGTCGCCTGCACCTACTTTCTGAACTGTGAAAAGTGCTGTTGGACACACTGATTAGAGAGACGTCAAAACGGACAACTTCGAGCCTCTACTTGGCGTTTTACCAGGATGATTCATGGTGCAGTGGTTGCGGGACGTTGACCGGCGACGACTTTACTTGGCGGACAGGGCTACACAGCTCGTCACAAAAGAGGCCCACAAAGCAAGACAGCAAACAAAGAAACTAAATATTGACTATGGAGGTGACAACCTGGCTGGTGGCTACCGAACGGATACATCAGCATGCATTTCTAGAGTGCAAGTTTATTATAAAGCGCCTTTTTTCACTTCAAAGTCGATTATCACAAAACATCATTTTTTTGCAACGTTTGACCCTTTTTCTCTGAAACCATAAAAACTAGAAGTATTATTTTTTCCGCTAACAACACAACACAAGGGGGAGTCTACTGAACTAGAATTATGGAAATTAATCAAGGCAAATTTGTTTGACAAGCTGTTTATTGTCTATTTTGGCATTAAAATTAGTAGGGTCCAGTAAAAACAAAAGCAAAAAAGAACTAAAATATATATAACAATAAATCTAGTTCAGTAAAGAGAACACAGAAAGCTAAATACAATGATACCAACATGAATTTTCTAACCCTAGCAGATCCTGAGAAAAAGGGTCACATACATAGGCTGAAACACATGGGAGGAATAGGGCCTACCCTGTTCCCTTAAAGCCTTATCAGCCGTACCGTGGCCACCGCAGAACAAGGTAACGGTCTCCTAAAACTTGCTACTTGTAGTAAACAGACACTGTGCTGTTTTTGGTCTTATTGACTTTGCACGAGTGTGCTGCCTCGTGATGCTTCTTTGAAAGCTCGGATCGTAGCGCTCAAGCTGACGAGTTAATTTCTCTAGAGCTGTGCATGAGGCAGTCCGATACTTAAATTCTAAAGTGTAGGCAATGGGCATTACATCAACGCGGAACCAGAAAGGCTGCCAATTTGTTGTGCGTTAACTTGTGTTTGATTGGATGATGCAGGACTCATCTGCTGTGGCCAAAGGTGCTAATGAGGACCCAGCACAGATGGCAGCTCCACCACCACCAAATGGTAGGTATAAAAAGCAGTCTGGATTCATCTTCATAATACGTGGTTAGCGCCTGTGTCAGGACATGTATTATGCATGAGTGCCGTCGGTAGCCCCATGCTGGTGGCCATTGATGTTGTGGGGTTGCAGCTTTGCTACACTGTGATCATGGTGAACTGCACTGGCTCCAGTGGCCCAAAGTGACAGCTTTTGTACCCATCTCAGCAATTACACAAAAATGTGAACATGACCTGCACTGTGCATAACTATGTAGAAGATGCTGTCATTAACCTATTGTGCCTGGTCGGTAGCTCCCAAGGTGACTGTAGGTCCAACCGTGTTGATGTTTCTAGCAAGGTGACACCTCAGCAAGACTTACAAAAACTTAAGTGTACACATGGTGCAGAGACAATCCACACATGGTTACTTGAGTTTTGTGTCGGACAAGACACAGATCCAATTAATGAAACTGTGTCAGGAAAAAGACGGTGCCTCCGGTCCTGTTTCCCAACAGCAACCTGCATCCACCGAACATTCCCGGCAGCACCACATCTACCCACTGCCCTGAAATTGACAAGGGAATGACACTAAGACAAAACTGGCTCACCAATTCCAAAACCGGTGTTTGCTATTTATATAAAAGGTCCACTTCTAAAAATATTTGCTGCAAAGGGCTGTGAAAGCAGGACGCACCTAGCTGGGCATTGCCTGTCGAACTTCACAAAATCATCGGCGTGCAGTTTTGTATACTTCTCTTCATTTTTTGCACTTAGGTATTCATGTCTTCCACCTTTGGCTAGATATTACAATCTGTCACAGTTGAGAGTAAGTAGCAGATAGTTCTCGCCACCACACAGAGCAATATTTTCTGCGTACTGAACCTTTTTGTTAATGTCCCGCACATCCACCAAAATTTCGCGAATGACAGATGGTCAGGTGACGAATGAACAGAAACTAAACGTTTAATTTGGCAAACTTGTGCCGAAAACAAAAATACCAAGAGGTAGCATCACAGGCATCGAAGGTCGGCGGAGTAGCACGATCGAGCGCAAGAGCAAGACTCTCTCTTTATCGCCACGCAGAGCCCCTCATGTATATGCGTGGACTTCTGGAACAATCGGCATAGAAAGTTTGGTGCGTAGAACATTCTGACTTTGAACAAGCAATGGGATTCTTGAATTAAACCAGAATGCAACATTTACAGAAATAACAAAAAGGTGCATGTGTGGCCAGGCATCATACCTCAGCCCTTTGTGTGCATGTGTGCAAGCTAAGCGCAATAACCATTTGGCCACGGGCAAGCTTGCTCGGAGACGTGCATGGCAATATGAGCAGCCTCTGCCATTAACCACATCTGACATGTACCAAGTGGTGGTCACGAACACGGTGCCCTTGGAAGTACTCAAAGGTCTTGTCTTTTATACTGACATGACATTACCTGCAAACCATGTATGCATGCTACTGAAACTGTGTCATGTCAGCTGTGCACCAGTCATCAGGTAGAGCTGCAGCGGAAAAAGATAAGCACAAGCGACCAACAACCGGAGCAGCAAAATCGCGACACACGGTGGTGGCCGGCACAAAGCAGCCCATCCTAAAGCTTGCATTCCGAAAGCTATCTTATCCCTCAATTTTCTGGCAGCCACCAACGTTGAGACATGGAACATGACTCGCACTTGCTATC